GGTCTAGCATCTCCACCATCGCCGCCTCGATCAGCTCTGAGGTGGCGCGCCTCCCGTTGTCGGGCGCCACCACCGCCGTCTCCGGGCCCGTGGTGACCCCCGCCGCCAGGTTGGACCCCTGCGCCTTGTGTGCGTCCAACAATGCCACGGCGCGGCGGCTGGTCAGGGGCTGCTGCAGGCGGGAAGCGAAGGCGAGTCGCTGACCGGGCGACCAGGCGTACATTTCCACCTGGGGGCGTGTGTGACCCGGGGGAGGGGGGGCGGGACAGGGCGGGAGCGGAGGGAGAGGGGGCGGGGGAGGGGGCGGGGGGTGATATAGTGGCCCGGTGAGCAGAGGAGGGAGCAAAGGAGGAGACAGACTGTTTGTCTGAAGGGGTTGACACTCGACCGTCAGGGGGCAACATGACAAAAGACCGTCAACGGCCGAGAACAGACCTTCAAACCCGGAGGTTGGAGGCACGCTTGCCTGCTGCGTACTGCACACCCGCACACATGCCCGCACGCACGCGCCGCACATCACCAAACGTCGGCGATGTCCCCGCCACCCCCGCCCTTCCCCGCATCTACCCAGCCACCCTACCAGCCCACTCCCCCCCCCCCACGCACCTGAACCGGCACATCCAGCGTGACGTGCGGGTGGCCCTCCGCGTCCCGCTCCACCACCGCCGCCGTGAGTTGCAGCAGCGGCTGCTGTCCCATCGCCACCGCCCCCGCCTCGGCGGCCGGCAGGGGCTGCTGCGGGAGCACCAGGAAATTGCGTCGGTAGCGGCCGCCCCACTGATCCTCGCTGGGGGGTTCGTGGTCCAGAGTCAGCTGTTGCAGCCCAATCGCCACCACCGGAAGCTCCTGAGGGGGAGGTGTTAGGGTTTGGACAGGGAGGACAGGGGCAGGAGGGGGTGGTACGAGATCAGGTCAGCGCGTGTTAAGAGGCATGCGGTACAGCGCACATCAAGTGACAGGACACGTGCGTATGCGGGCTGGAATACTGTACCGCATCTGCTGGCGGCACGCGGGCGGCATTCTGTGGATTGGTCACGCGGCCGCTAGCGGGGAGGCTTTGGTCCGGACTTTCTTGCTTCGACCACTACCGCTGCTACTGCTGCTCGCGAAACTGTGACAGCGGGACACAGCACTGCCTCAACGCCACGACGGCGCGACGCAACGGCGGCCACAAAGGGGGAAGGGTGGCGCGCGGTGTGGCTGGCCAGCCTGCAAGGGACGCTGCACCCCACCGCCACAACCATCGCATGCTGCAGCCCACGCACCACAGCTCACGCACGTCTACACACGCAAAGGCAAGGCGGGGTGCAAATCGTGCCTGCAAGCAAGGCAACTCTCCCTCGCAGATGCCCCTCAAAAGACCACCCGCCCTCTGGCCGGCTGCTCGCCCCTCTGACCCCACCGACCGCCATTTATTCGCCCCCAACCCAACCCGACCATGACGGGCGACTTCGGTCATCACTCGCGACCCCCCCACCGCCACTGCCACCCCATGAGACCCACATACGTACTCACTCCCCCACTCCCTCCCTACCTCCCCGTACTCCCTCCCTCCCTCCCCCCCCCCCACTCGTACCAGGTACCCACCACGTTGGTGTCCACGATGTGCACCTGCGTCGCCGCCGTGACCTGCAGCGTGACGGAGAAGGCCGGGTTGTACCGCACACTGCCGTCACCGCTGCCGCCGCCACTGCCGTTACCGCCACTGCCGCCGCTGCCGACATGGCCGTGACCGCGGCCGTACCCGCCTTGGCCGTACCCGTAACCGTGACCCTGTCCGCTGTAGCCGTAGCCTGCCACCGCCGCCGCCGCGATGCGGCCACGCTGCTTTGGCGGCGCAAAGCCTCCGACCTTGAGATAGCTCAGCTCCACCACCTGACCCAGCGCCCGAACCAAGCGCGGCGTCACCATGTTGTCATCGGAAATGTAATTTAGCAGCGTCGCCAGCACGCCGCCGCCGCCGCCGCCGCCGTTGTCCTCCAGGACGTACAAGGCGGCCTTGTCGCCTTGCATTCTAGTGCCGCGGATCGGGTCGTCGGTGTCGACGCGACACACGACCGACATCACTATCGCGCGCACGCGGCCGAGTGTGGTGCCCGGCGCGGCGGCGGTGATGCCCGGCAGTCGAGGCTGCAGGTGCAGCGGGTAGCGCGGCTTCTTGGGATCGGGGGCGGCGGCCTCTTGCGGGAGGTCCTCGGGCGGCGGGGGCCGGCTCGCCAGCAGGCCGCCCAACTTCTGATGGAACATGGCTGCGAGCGCTGTGAACTACCTCGTTTCTCGAGGGAAGGATAGAAGTATTTCGGCGCCCTAAGGAAAACACCCGAAGTCCACGCGACGCGAGCTGAGATAGGAAATAGGAGCTGCTGATGTATCTTCTGGGCTGTTTTTTCTGCTCCAGCGGCCGCGCTTTGGCCGGCAAGAGGCCGCGACGAGAGACAGCTGTGGCCCTGTGGAGAGGCGTTCAGGAAAGGATTCAAAGCGAAACAGAATGAGCTCTTCGTGCGCCCCGAAAAGGATGTTTCTGGTCGAGCGCGGTGCTGACTGCTGCTAGCTGAGGCAAACTAAGGGAGAGCTGCTTGAACCGAAATCTGAAGCTATGGTATTGGGAGATGCTGATTTACGCGCTGCTGAACACGGGAGGAAGCGTGACGATCTAACGAATTAAGGCGTAAACTGGAACGGCAGGTTTGGGATTCGGTGATAAGGTTCACGAGTGAAAACAAGGGAATCAAGGGACAAGGTTACTGCAGGGCCGTTGGACTGCGCCTCCCTGCCCCCCGACGTCCAACAACACGTCAATCGCCGACCCGTGGGTCATCAATCCCACACACCCAACTATCGACCCAGCGCTGCGCCCGCCAGCAGTACAATTCACCAAAGATAACTTTTGACTGCCAAACCGCCATTCGAACATTTCATGGGTGATTCCGGTCAGCAGACGATGCACTGATTTAATCCGTACTTCATTCACTTCAGAGGACACCCCATGGCGTATCTGTTGCTGTTGTTGCAGTGGGTTCCAGACTTTCGGGAATGAAGAGAAAGGCAGGCCAGCTGGCCACGCGCCGCAGCGGGGGCGATTACTGAAGTCGAGGTCAGATCGCGATACCAGGCGATACAGAGCTACCCATCCAGACAGGAGCGAGCAGATCCGGGCGGAAGGCATCCCCGAGGCAGCCGAGGAACTAACCCAGAAGCTGCACCCAGAAGTCAACGACCATGCGTGCCTGACGGCCCTCTCCGTAAGCCTGCTGGGAGTAGGGAGAAGTGCAGAGTCCGCCTTCCTGGCAGTCCGTCCCGTGCCCGTGGTACATACATGGCAATACCCCTGCTGCAGGCGAACCCCTAGCCGACGGCAGAACTGGCGAAACCCTTGCCGGGTGCCATGCCGGATGGCCCGCCGGCTGTACCCCTCCGGAATCCTGGAGCCCACTGTGACAAATGTGACTACATTCAGCGCAGCTACCTGCGTAAACTGCTGAACAACAGCCTGCATACGCCACAGGACAGGCCCAGAATCAACGGCAGTGAGCGGAAACCTAAAATCCAATCTCATGATGGATATTCCCCACATCCACAGGCCGTGTTCCCAATTGTGGGCACCCCAAAAAAGGTCAAACACCACTGGGCTCCCATCTTGCTCTTTTTTCCACCGGAGACATGGAAGGCCCTAAGGAGGCCTTGCTGCGAGCAGAGGCGAGCCGCTCGCGCGAGCCCCCAGCCCCCTCCTCTCGCCCGCAATGTCCAGGCGCTGACAACATGCTGGACCTCAATGCCGTATAAAAGCTCCCAAAGTTTGCGAGAGTCAATAATGGAGTCGGAGGGCATCGATCCCCCTACCTCCCGCACATTCGGGCGCCTAGCGCATCATGCTAAGCGGGCGCTCTACCATTTGAGCTACGACCCCGTGCACCAGCCGAGAATCGAACTCGGGTCTGGTCCGTGGCAAGGACCTATGCTACCACTATACCACTGGTGCTTGGTGAAATCTTCAAATACTTCACAATCCAGACATGCCCACAGAACCATCTGGACCTCGCTGCTCCCCCGCTGTCAGCCCCTTTCAACTCCCTCTTGCCTTCCCTTCCTTCCATCCAATCCCTAATCTCGGCACTCTTCGACTGCACCTGGTCTGCCGCCATTGGCATTGACACAGCCGGCGGCATCACCCCGCCCGCCATGCCGCTCGCTGTGGTGCCCATGCATCCCAGCCATATCCACCCGCTCCTGCTCACGCTCCTGCAAAACAGGTGGTGATGGACACAGCACCAGGACAAAGGCATGGAGGTCGGTGCGATCCAAGGAATGCACCGTGGAGCACAGGCGCTATTTCAGGCTGGAGCCATGAAAGCCGACCCTGCTTTGCCGCCGCCTGGCCCAAACCTTTCCGACAGAGGCATCAGCCATGCGCCCTTTTCTTCTGGGGCCGCCTTCGGAGCTTCGCGGCTTTGCAAGTACTTCGCAACGGGTTACCGGTAGACTTGGTTGGGCACCAACACCCTTTCTTGCGGCTGTTTGATGAGGTTTTGGTGTGCATTACGGCTGAAGTGGCCGCAAACGGAACATAATGACAGCAGCAATAGCTCCGTTGGGGCACTTATGGCCTGTTTAGGGTACAGGGCCTATCCAGTTGCAGCCTGCAAGTTGCTGTCAGGTCTGTTGGTGCGCCGGTGACCGGGTCCCATCAGTGTATGGAGGCTGACAACTCATTCTCTAGTTGCCACGGGTTCCTGGGCCTTCCCCCGGGTTTGCTAGTTCCTGTCTGAGCCGCAGCGAGCCCTTGCCTTCAAGGAAATGTCTGCTAGTGGAATGAGAATGGGTACAATTTGCAATTGGCACAACCCTCTCGTGAACATCGATCCCTGAGCACTGCTGTAGCAGATGGCTGAGACTGGGGATCAGGCGGCTGAAGGACACATTGTAGACCACTCAAGCTTGCCTGGGGCTCCGGCGGAAGGTGCTGCTGTGCGCTTTGTACCTTAGAGATGATCCCCATAAAATGGAGTCGGAGGGCATCGATCCCCCTACCTCCCGCACATTCGGGCGCCTAGCGCAGCATGCTAAGCGGGCGCTCTACCATTTGAGCTACGACCCCGTGCACCAGCCGAGAATCGAACTCGGGTCTGGTCCGTGGCAAGGACCTATGCTACCACTATACCACTGGTGCTTGATGATACCTCAGTCCACCGTTCCAATTGGGACGAATCTGATGAGACCCGCCCTGGAAGGTTGCAAACGGCAAGGCAGTGGCTTGCAAGGTAAAAAGTTCGGAAGTTCAGAAAGGCTTCAGCTTATGGCGGGGAGAAGCAAGGCAACTACTTGTGTAACAAGGATACAAAGATGCAGGATATAGTCGGCTGTTCTGTTTTGGGCTTCGGGGGCTACGGTCAGGTTGGCCAGGCTAGTCGTAGAGCACCCATCTGATCATACCCTGGATGGCGTTGCAAATTTGCAATGCAACGGCCCTACGTACGGGCATGCGTAACTGCGCACATCGTTCCCAACAGTTCCCAAGCCAACGACTGAGGTCTAGTCGCCTGTGAGGTTGGGTCGCCCACCCCCGTCGTGGACAACCCACCAGGGGTCGAAGTAGGGCAACCCACTGATCTTCACGCGCGCAAGCCTTTCCCAAAAGACGCGGCCCGCGATACTTCATCAAAGAAATGGACTATGCCAATGACCACGCTCGTCCTGTCAGCGTGCTGCAGGAAACGCTGCCATGTGCAGGGCGAGGCCGTCTCCATCAGCAGAGCGTGCCGTGCCCAAGAGCGACACCAGCTGAAACACGGACTGGACACCCAGCGGCGTCCTAACGCACATTTGAATACTATATCAGCCCAGCCCACCAGTGCGAAGTTCAGGCCATGGCGAAACGCTCTGCAAAATCTTCCGGCAGGAACGACGACCACACCAAAGCCACTTGAAAAACTGCGCCATAAATCTGTGTTCTGTGTCCTCTATACATCTTTTCTGCATGACAAACGTGGAAAAGGACCAAGAGTCAGCAAACCCTAGTGTCATTGCAGCGAGCTCGCACAGGCAAGACTGCTGCTGAAGATATCCCGCGGCGTCCTAGCCAAGTCCTTCATTTCCCAAGAAGCTCAGGTCCGCTGACCTTTCAATGGCAGCAACTGCCGAAACCGGTCGTGGTAACGTGGACAAGGTTGAGGCCACCCATCAAGCGGGTAAGAGGCAGTCTGCGCCACTATTCCACAGAAACATAGTGCCTAATGTCCTGAAAATAATCGGTGGCCGGTGAGTCCCGGAAGACGACGAGCCATAGCGCCACAAGTCCAGCGCTGCCTAAGCCAGAAAAACATGCTGACTATGGACGCAATCAATAAGCAGTTGCGCGTATTCACCTATGAATGTAATGGATGTAAGGTTTGGGCGTTCGGCAGCCATTGTGCGGTATGATGCATTTATGCGGTTCTCTCGGATCCGGAGCAGCAGCTGTCGATGTCACGACATGTCACATGTGTCTCTATGTATGTGACAATATCTCAATAAAGAAACAGTCATTGACAACAACTCAGAAATTCTTTGGTATTGAGGCTTTTAGGGAACTGCAGCACGATCGAGGGATGCAGACGTATTGGCGCTCATCACTCGGCCAGACTCGGCCGGCTGTCCCCTGTATGCTACGGCGTATTCTTGTTGTGGTTCCTATAGCGGGCTCCCGACTCCGGAAGAGTAGAGCCAACGGGCCAGCTGGCCATGTACTGTCGCGGAAGCTACCAGGGCTAGCTAGCTAAGGCAAAGCCCAACCAGGCCAGACAGCACGAGCCACCCAGACAGGAACGAGCGAAGCCCGGAGGAAAGCACAAGGGTTCGCGATATAACGCGGTACCCAACGAGCGACGGGCCCCAGCTACCCTTCCACAAAAAGGCACGCCAACAGTGAGACCTGACAGCAACTCGCCCCGCCCCTCCCCGGGCTGCATTTAGAAAAGACCCCCGATGCTGCAGCAGAAGCTGAGACTAGGGACAATCAGGCGGCTGAAGGACGCCACAGTGTAGGCCACTTAATCTTCGGTTGCCTAGGACTCCGACATAAATTGCTTGTCCACGGACGTGGCATGGATCGGGTCTCATCCTGCGTTGCTTGGTTGCATGTCGTGGGTGCATGATGGGTGCATCTCGTCCTGCGTGCGGTGCTGCGGTAGTTGTTGTCCAGGGCAGGAGGGGCCTGGGAATGATCGAAGCAAAACAGAGTCGGAGGGTATTGATCCCCCTACCTCCCGCGGATCTGTCGCTACACATCGGAGGCTGCGGAGGGTGGATGGGTGGCGCCTCCCAACCACCCTCCGCAGGCTCCGACGCCTAGCGTACATTGAGCGGGCGCTCTGCCGTATGAGCTACGACCCTGTGCATTAACCGGGATTTGAACCCGAGATTGACCAATTTCGTTGATTCTGTTTCACTCAGTGTGCTATTGGTGCTTGCGATTACTAAGAAAGCAAACATATATCTCATGGAGAAGGTGAGAAACGGCTGCTGGGCGCTGTTGGGTTGCAGCCGAGTGGCTTCCTGGAAGGTAATTAAGGAGTTCGGAAGTTCGGTATGTCTATCGGCTTAGGCTTATCGGCGTGAGCCATAGGGTGCCGGCGGGCACCCAGCGATAGTCTGATCTTTCTATGCCACGACTTCGATTCTGGGCCTGTCCATCCGGTGGTGCAACAGGCGGCGGCAGACCAGCTGACTTTGTCCATCGGATCGCCTGCGTGTGTCTCGACAGGAAGTCTGGCTCGTCGAAGCCACGGAGCCCGGACACAGGATAACACTGTGTACGGACGTTACGGTCCTTGCTGCGGCACCGGCCACGCACGGATGGAGCATGGCTGACTTCTGCTGTCTGGTCTAGTCTGGATGGGCGCCTCCCTCCTCGACTGCCCTGATGACCACCAATCTCCTGTCAGCGTATGCAGGAAACGCCGCCATGAACAGGGCGGGCCGTTTCCATCAGCAGGGCGTGCCGTGTAATGAGCAGCCGACTTCGACTTGCTCGTAACATGCCGTACCCAAGGAAGAGTGAGACCAGCTGAAACGCGGACGACTGGACACGCACCCAACGGCGTCACACTTATTACATACTATTTCAGCAAGTGCGAAATACAGGCCTTGGCGAACACGCTCTTCAAGGTCTTCCGTTCCAGCAGGAGGGAGGACCACTCAGGGGGCATGAGCCGAAGCTCAAAGAAACCTGCACTCCTGTACGGCAACCGACCAGGTCCATACCGGTATCCACTCGAGAGCCTCTCTCACCCGCCGCGATACCGACAGCTCCCACAACCGTAAGGCGGTACCATATGTACCGCATCATGTAATCTGGCAGGCAGCAGCATGCGGCTGCTCGCAAGTCTCAACCTTCCTTCAAGCCGCGAGCCATCATGTCGCTAATGTCGTACAATCATGGCTACGACTCGTCCTCCCCCGCCGGACTAATCCCAGGCTCCCAGCCCGGCCCCTCCGGCCATCCGGGTCAGCGGCGGCACCAACACCTGCGTGCTGCCATTAGTCACTACCGTCCCGAAAAATAGGATAAACCTTTGCAAGACGACCTCGCTAGCTCCCGCGCATTTTTAGACGCGCGCCTCCCAATATTGGCGCCACTTACGTACCCAACCACGAGCTGGCCCCAAAATGCACATCCTACATACATTTTGGGGCCCTCGTTTGAAGCCGGGGGCCCAGCCAGCTGGGCGTCGGCGGCTGCAGCGGCGGCGTCGACGGCCGAGGGGGCCTGTGGGAAGGCGGTGGAGGCGAGGCCTGCAGAGGGCGGGTTTGGTGGCCACAGGCGGCTGTGAGGCCGCAGCGGCAGCGATACGGTAAGCTGTCCGCCACGGCGGCAGGAACGGTGCTGGGGAGCAGGGGAGGGCGGCACAGGCGGCGGCACTCAGCCACGGGGCAGCGGAAGTACTTCCGTCACAATCATGCTCATCTGGGAGAGATGTGCGGGCATGAAGTTGCCCTTCACGCAGTGCCGCTTTTCACGTGCTACTCTTTGCCTCGCTCAGGCGGGCGCGGCTCCGGGTACATCGTACTCCTTCTCGCCCTACTCGCCTGCACCCAAGGAAAGGGGAGCGGGCGAGCACCCCGCCCTTTCCCCTGATTGCAAGCGAGTCATCCTTTCGCCGGGTTGTGCCGCTGAGCGCTCGGGTGCGTGCGCTGTTGTGCCCGTGTTGTGCCGTCACGAATAAGCGCGTATTTGCCACCAAGAGGTAGGTGCAACATATTACCGGTACCCCGGGTGAGATGCGGGGCGTGCCTCCGAGCAGCGCCCTTTCCGCTTCACGAATGGAGGACATGAATCTGAGCCGTAGCCCGTCCCACAACTCACCGGTGCAAAGAGCCTGGGAGAGCTCCTACAGCAGCAGCTACGCAGGGGAGACATGACGAATACGCCAGTGTCTCCTCTAAGCGTCAAGCCGGAACGCCATCTACTTGTGCAGCTCTCTGAAGGGGGAATTACGGAAAGGACTTCGGCCAAAAAAACCGACGCAGCTGCAGTGAGCATTCCACAGCTGGTGGGCGAGATGTGATACGGTATGCAGCCTGCACCTGAAAGAATTCAGTCCATTTAGGTTCATGACGTTGGGAAGATGTCATCGCCTCGATCATGCGTGTGGACGAGCACTGCCTAATACAAGGGCGAGGGTACCTAAATCCTGTCTCCCGCGCAAAGGAACGAACGTCCAGAGGGTGAGACTAAAGATGACCTCCCAAAAGCACAAAATTGCACCAGCCGAGAATCGAACTCGGGTCTGGCCCGTGGCAAGGACCTATGCTAGACTATACCACTGGTGCTTGTTAATTCATTGAGAAACAAGCCTCCCACAAAGGTCACCCAGGCCACTCCGGGCCACGCCGCTAGCCCGCTCTCTTGCGCTCAATCGCAGCCGTTTTTATATCTCTTGCTGTCACGATCCCCTTTCCATCTTTCCCACCCACACTTTATCCCTTCAAATGTACCTACCCCGCCATCGGCACAGTCGGTGGCATCTCCTTGCCACACTGCTCGCTGTGGCACCCACACATCCATAGCCATCCCGCTGGCTCACTCGCCTGTACTGTCCAATGAAGTGGACAAAGCACCAGGACAGATGCATGCCAGCTCCGCCAGCAGTCAACCACACAGACATGGAAGCAGGTAGGCGCATTGCGTGGAACAGACCGACAGCGATGTGTGCACGCAGCTGAGCGTAGTGCAAGCTGCCGGGCTCGCTCTCCCGCGGCGGCTTGTATGGATGCATGCCATGTATGGATTCGTCGGTGAATTGAAGGGGAATGGTCGCCATCTGCAGAGACCTGCCACGCACACGGCAATACTAAGCGCTCACGCAGCAGGTGAAGTCAGCAAGGGGATGTAGCGATTGAGTAAATGTAACTGAAGCCCTGACTGGTGAAGCAAGACATCGTACCGAGGCAAATCACTACGTTCAAAACTTTTGAGTCGGAGGGCATCGATCCCCCTACCTCCCGCAGTTTCGGGCACTTAGGCATCGTGCTAAGCGGGCGCTCTACCATTTGAGCTACGACCCCATGCGACAGGTGGGCATCGACCTCATACTATAAGGATCTACGATAGCCACGATGCATACTGACCAGCTGACCACATGAACATCGGGTCCCCGGTCAAGAGCGGTTTTTCCAGGAAAGATCAGGAAATGGCACGGTGGGAGCTGCCGGTTGGGCTACAGGCCAGTGGCAAGCTGGCGAGGTTGAAGTATAGTCTTGGTTTTCGTAGGCAGGTTGGCATCAGGAAAGTCAGGTACCGGCGAATGCACACCATCTAGATCTGTTTGTCGGGGGTTAGCGTGTCTCAGCTATGGCTTCACAACTCAGCTACAGCTTCAAAGTGACGTACGGCGTCGGGGGGGCGGGGGGATGGGCAACGGCCAGGTCGATAGGTGGGTCCCTCGATGTCTTCACACTGCTGACGCATGATCCCATGGTGGGGACTGGCGGGGTTGCATTACCTTGGCCCTACGTTGACTCCCCAGCGCGGCTGCGTGCATTGTCCCCAAAAGTCAAGCCATCAACTGAGTCGTATAGGCGAAGCCGCCCGTGCGGCACCCGCGGAGCGAAGTCGTGTGGCCTTCTGGTCAACACGTGCGCAAGCCTGTTACCAAACCCGATCCGACCCAAAGCCGATAGCTCAACAACCCACCGACGCTTCGGTACAGTCTTTGTAAGAGGGCCATCGACTTGAGCTACCCCCTGCTATAAGCGCTCTGCTGTAGACGCTTGCAATGACATGAGCAGGGCAGAGCCATAACGCGTTTGATACCAGCAGCGTGCACGCTGAGTCCCAGCTGAGACACGGAACGCAATCCCAGTGTTATCTTTAACCTTCAACACAGTACAAGGTAGCTGACGCCCAACTTACCGATGCAAGGGGATTTCTGCGAGCTTTTCCTGCATGCCCGAGGACTACGACACACCAGGACCTCTTCACACCAGTGGAGCGGAACGTCTTTTTACTTCCGCCGCGAAGTCGTTTTGATGTGAACATAGCTCCTGAATGGAAAAGCGGAAAGAACCACGACTCGGCAAACCCTAATCTAGGTGCAGCAAGCAGAAGACAGAAGTCCCTTGCAGCGTACTGGCGAGCCAGCTTTTTTTCAAATATATATCAAGTCCACTGGCCTCACCTGAGCGGCGACTGTCGAAACCGGACGCACTAACATGTATGCGCGCGCCAACGTGGAAAAGGTTGAGGCCGTCCACAAGCGGACAAGCACAATACAGCGTCTAAAGTCATGAAGTGCCAGCAGATTGCAGGGTATTTACCGAAGGGCACAGAAGTGACCGGTTACAAGTAAAGAATAATGCTAATCTGGAGACACGCGTTTACGCGTCGTACACATGTCATCACGAGCGTTAAGAAAATAGTGTCATGCCTAGGTACCGTAGATAATTTGTGCTTCGGCTTGATGTGGTTCCCGTTGATCCAGAGTCCTTCGGAGCAGCTGTCGATGTCCCGATATCGCGATATGTACCGCCAGGTAACGCTTGCGGGCATACTCAAAAGGACAAGTGATTTGATACATGCATAGAGGATGGGCGCTACAAAAACATCTGATGGTCGCTAGAGACGGTGGCAGCGTGGCATTGCCGAGAAATGAAAATGAGTCGGCACTTTGGTGACGGCGGGCCAGGGACGGCCTGGGTTAACTGTGTGCTTCGGTGGACTGTGGGTTGGATGGGGCCGCGGTAATGCCATGAAGCGCCACGGCGCACGGAGGCTCGCCGCAGGGACCGGTAGAGTCGCAGCCAGCCAGGGTTTCACACCCGAAAGAACCCCCGGCCATGCGTACAGTACGGGTTGTGACTTGTGAGCTTGTGACCTGCTCAATCAACACGGCTCAACCGAGGCCGAAACGTTTACCGCTGACTGTCATTATAGCCGTTCTAGATGGCGCGTTACCTATTCAAAAGCTTTGGGGAACGGAGATTTGAACTGAACAAGTGGCGCGGTTTACATGGCCCCTCCTCCCCGTAGTCTGAGCCCTCGGTTCAGGTTTCCTTACAATGGGTGCAGCCATAAGGGTGAGTGTGTGGGTGTCTGCATGGAGTCGGCTTCCCGCTGCTGGGACGCGCGGACCGACCTGGCGCGGCCGCCGATGCCGTCGTCCCATCCGGCCAAACGACTGACTGTTTTTCCTCGCTAGTACTTCATCAGTCCAGGCAAACACTTGTGGTTCGGATGCCGGTTGTTGTTTCTGGCAATCGCAAGCGGGCGCACCGCACGTGGCCCTTTTCGTGTGCCTCTTTTTATTTGGCACACCTCTATCTTTCTCCGCGACGTTGTCCTGCTGCGGAGAAAGATAGAGCATAGAGGTGTGCCAAAAAGAGGCACACGAATAAGGCCTTGAACGGCGGGTGCCCTCCATCCGGAAGGGGCGTTTGCCATGATGAAGTGATCGCGTCGGCTCAACTGGGGCGGGATGGTGGTGTTCAGGTAGGTGCCGACGGGGATGCTGCTGTCGTTGAGCGCCAGGTAGGGCTGCCCCCAGCCCAGCTGCGGAGCAAGCAAACGGAAGAGGTTGCCGTGGGCGGGCTGGTGCACGTGCATGTGCAGGACCGTTGGGTGCAGCGTAGGAATGAATCGACGGAAAGGGCGCAATTGTAGTTTGGTTTCTTAAGTAGTTGCCGCACCGCTTAGGGGTCGTACGGGCGAAGAGGTACCTGCGATAGATCAGACTGAGTTGAATGCAGCTAATGCTCGGGCAGGCTCGCGCGGGCCTGCTCGATCGCTCATGTATGTGCAGTTCCCGGAGCCGTTTCAGTTCCCTTGGGCGACATCCCCTGGCTTAACGTTACGCGCCTTCAGTTGCACTTGAGGGCCCGAATTTGGTGCAGGTGGCTCCATGGTGCAGCCTGCGTTGGTCAGAGAGGGACAGCGCGCCGCCGCCTTGAGCATCTGTGACGTGTTCGGCTGGAATCCTTGGAATCCTTGCAACCCCACCCCTCCCCCGCCCGGCGCCCCTGGCAGAAAGCAGTACACTGCGCTTTATGCCTCCTATCGGCAAATGCGTGCAAAGGCAGGTCATGCTTGCGCCATCCTAATACTCGCTGATTCCCTTTTTCCGAAAAGCAAAACGCACCCATTTGCAGTTATCGACTGCCAATAAACTCATCAACTGGTTGGACGTTCTCTAGGGAACAAAGAAAGCTCTTTCTGCAACAACGATAGACATGCAGACTAGGCACATGATTAGTCATTTGATATCTGTAGCTCATGGCCCGCCGCGTAAAGTAAGAGCTGGTAAGAGCGGACTTGCGACCGACCCTGACCGACAACATCTCGCCACTGCTTGCGCAGTCACGAGCCGTTCTGCCAGCGCCTTGATATAATCTTATTAGTAATAAGCTGAGGCCGTGGATGCGTGGAATGAACGATGCGATTTCTACCTGTCAAAAAGGAACTCGCAGAATTTCAGCGCACTTCGGCGTATTTAACACTCATTTCTCGAAGAAAATTATTGTGTATGTTTCAACCTAGCGTTGCATCAATAGTACGACTGTCAGTATCTTTTGGCCGTCCCTTATCCTGGAATAACCCTGATTAACTGCGCGTAACCCTCTGTAACCCCCCGCACCATAATCAGCGGAAGGAAATTATGAAATATAAATAAATATACATCTATATGCATGTAGTGCTTAATTGGAATGGGAAGAGCAGCCCTGCCACAGAAAAGGTGCCCGCCCGCCCTTTTATTTCGGAGGCCTAACCCTGCCTAACTACCTCTTACGAAAGCCCGTGTGCGGCAAGCGAATGGAAGGCATCGGGCATGCCAACAGGAACCTCCTCAGTTGCTTTGCGCTCCCCATTACCAGGAAATGCCTCCAATTGCATGCCACTCGTCTCTGTCCATGTTCACTCCCATCGGTTGTTGGGACGGTCGCGTCTGCAAATCTCGCTGCCCCTGAACCAGCCTGACTGTCACGCACGTCGAAACGTTCCGAGGTTATGAAAATACCTTAATTCGCACCTCTACCAGCACGTCCATCCGCAGCGGCGCACCCACACCACCCGAGGGTAGGCGGTGCCCTCGTTGGCCAGCACGGTGCGCATTGGCACACCCCTCGTTGACCCCTCGCTCGTTATCTATTGGTACCGTCCCAACTATGAAGCGCCGGCCCGTGATGCGCTCGCATGGCGCCAGGGCGCCATGCCCCCGTAAGAGGACACCCAAGTCTGGACTACTGGCTTATTAGCCGCCTAGATCTCGGTCCGCGGAATTATGGCTGGAACACAGCGTCTGTAAAATACCCCGGTTACAAAATACCCCGGACGGAAG